TAACCTGAAAGGAAGACGAAGGCTGAGGATGCTAGCACAGCTAATGTTTTCCACACTCAGCAGATTGTAGATCACATGTTCAACCATATAAATAAACTGTACTCAATGTGGACTGTTTTTCTATTTACTTTAGCCCAAGTCAACTGGTTTTATGTTCATCAACAGCAAGTTAGTTGATATGTATTGTATCCTTTAACATCTTAAGAATTCACTATTATCTAAGGATTGGAAAATCATTGTACCACTGTTTAAAGTGCTTTTTGGCAGCCTCCACACTCTCGTCATCAATCTCCTTACAGAAGACCCTGATCAGCTGCTCAGAAAAGATCAATGTGCGAATCCTGGATTCCTGTAAAGAATGACAGCAGCTTTACTTTGAGAGTTATGGAGACATAAACCTCCTTACAAATAACAGACAGAAGAACTATTGAATGATTGTGATAAAAAATTGTTTTAATCAATAGTTAGTTCTGACATTTTTCCTGTTCTCGTCTTTCATGCCGTAGTCCTTGTTAATGACCTAAAAAGAAGGTCGAGAGTAAAATGTGTGCCATAACAAATTCTGCAACATCTTACAAATCAAAGAATCAGCAAAACTGAAGATTTTACAAAAAAAGGTCAGATGAAAGAAAGTAAAAAAAACTCACCAGGATTTCAAAGTCCTCTGGTTTCAGGTTGTTTCTTCCTCGTCAGGAGGGGTTGAGCCAATCCTTCTTTCCAGCCAGAAATCTGGCTCTTGACAAGGAATCAGAAAAAAATTACAACAGTGGAAAAGGATATAGATTCAGATTTTTTGCATTTTAAGTTGACAATGTAAGAAACTTGGAATTCATTTCTTATTCACTCAAAAAACTGCACCAACTTAGTGTAAATGCGTTTGACTGTAGGGCTGCATGGTATGATCTAAGCATTATTTTGCTATGTGTACAAGTGCCATGGTAATATCCCAGGACGTGTGTTAGTCTATGAGCACATAAAGTGTAGAGGGAGAGAGAGTGAAGGGATCACATGCAGTGTATGAAGATGAACTGTTCTTTGCTTAGAAGTTAATGTCACAGGGCTCTTGATGCAAATTAAATGTAGCTTTGAATGTATAAGGGGTTCTTATTTGTAAAAGAAAATAAACTTGAAGACCCAGATAATAATAAAAATTGTAATAGTATGAACATAAAAAGAAAACGCAGTTTCCCCAATATCATGCAGCATTAGTTGACAGAGGGATTTTGTATTATAAGACATTTCAAGCTGCTATCCAATTCACATTACATTTCAATAAGAGAACTGTTCAATAGTGCTGCTGTTCATGTTAAATGTAATATTACGGGCAAGATAAAATGCTGGAGACAGTAAATAATGTGATGTGTACTTATTCTATTAACTGAAAATGAGCACATTATCCAGCTTTGTGATAACAGTGCATTAGATCATGTGTAATAAATGTAATGAAACACAAGAACACACAGACTTACTTTCCAATCCTTGATGGTCTCCTCTGGCTTTCTCTCACCAACAAACTTGTAGATCTCTCCAGAGACAATTTTTTGCAGAATCTTTCTTGCCTCTAAGAGTAAGAGAGTGACAAGCAAACGATAAACAATAATAATTCAGTGTTATTCATGTTGTTTGGTAAGTTCCTGGTGTCAACTGCAGGAAGATCGCTCTAATTACCCTCAGATCCATCCAGATATGGATTCTTCTCCAGCCTGCATGTTAATAAGGACACACAAGTACATCTGTTTTAAAGAAAGCAGTGCAGAGTAAACCTAGTGAGAGATAAATTGAGGCAGAAATGATTCTATTTAACAAACAATCTCTCATTCAAGTTATTTTAAAGCAAAACAATGCACTCATCATGCAGATCCATCATCTCACTGGTGAGAACTTTCAGTTTTTTTAAATCTTAAGTAAAAAAAAATATTTTCAAAGTTTTTGTCTTTTGGTACTAAAATACAAAAGTTTGAAGACTCCAACATTAATTTGGCATCAAAAAAGGATCAAAATCATATAAAAGCAAAGAAAAGGCAACAGTGTCCTGAAGTTCAATGCAATCATTCCCTCCCTGCTCATTGCTCCATTCTAATGCTCATATATTAAAACAGCCTTTCAATGTCATAAAACCACAAACTGCATATATTAATATGGACAATGAGTTTTGGTCTGTTGTATAAAGAGCAAAGACAAAATACCGGCCAACATTTTGTGCTGGTGACTTCTTTTGGAGCCAAGACATGTGCAAACTGAAGCACAACAAAACAAAAAATGATCCCTCAGGTCAGAAAGAATCCCAGTCTCGATTCTCACATAGTTGCGATGTCATGTCTGCGTGATGCCGATTCTCTTGCTCCTTTTTCCTTCACAAACTGCACTTACGCTGCACTCGCGTCAGTATTTCCCACACAGACAATACTCGGGCTACCCAGGTACATGTATGCCGATGTGATGATGCTCTCTCTTGGTTTTGCTGAATCTTGATAACAGGCCTTCACATCATGCTCACCTGTTGTAATAACTGAGATGCTAGATCAACTTTTTAAAGAGGGAGTTTTGTTGTGTTGCACAGAGCCCATGAAGGCTCAGTTAAAAAAAAAAAAAATTCTGTCTGCTAGTCAGTACAATGGACTTGTAAAGCGTGGCTACGGACTAGCAAACTGTTGGCAAGGTTTCATAAATTCTGCGAGACAAAACAAGGGGCTGAGGTCCATCAATCATTTCCATCAGCAAGGCATATCTGGTTTTACTCTCTCTCTCTCTCTCTCTCTCTCGCTCGTGCGCACATCTTTATTCCATTTCTTTAAACGAGACAAAATCAGGATGAGAATGCAGGAAAAGAAATGTTTGGTGCTTAACATTTTCTTGGGGAGACCCCACCTGAAGCTGGCTAGAGAAACACTGGAAGCCACATACACACCCATTCAAAAAAAGTCTGTTTGAGATTGTAGATCACATGTTCAACCATGTTAAATAAACTGTACTGGGGATAAGACTTGTGGAAATCAGTGTACTGACACAACAGAAAACTCAAAGTACTTGGTCTTTTTTTCGATTCTCTGATTTTTCTGAAATTTTCAAAATCCAAAACAACTGTTGACTGTTTTCTATTTACTTTAGCCAAGTCAACTGGTCTGAATTTATATTTGATGTTTTATGTTCAATCAACAGCAAATTAGTTGATATGTATTGTATCCTTTAACATCTTAAGATTCAACTATTATCAAAGGATTAGAAAATCATAGTACCACTGTTTAAAGTGCTTTTGGCAGCCTCCACACTCTCGTCATCAATCTCCTTACAGAAGACCCTGATCAGCTGCTCAGAAAAGCACGTTGTGTGAATCCTGGATCCCTGTAAAGAAGGACAGCAGCTTTACTTTGAGAGTTTTGGTGACATAAGCTGCCTTACAAATAATTTAACCCAATAAACAGAAGAAATATTGCGATAAAAAAATGTTTTAATCAATATTTAGTTCTTACCTTTTCTTCGGGCATTGGCTTTGCCACGTCAAGCTCAGATTTGCTGTAGAAATGAACATGTTGGATAGGGTCCTTGTCGTCCATGCCATAGTCCATTTCAATGACCTAAAATGAAGGTTGAGAGTAAAAGTATGTGTGTAATAACAGATTTTGCAACATCTTACAAATCAAAAAATCCTCAAAACTGAAGAATTTACAAAAAGGTGAAATGAAAGAAAGTCAAAAAACTGACCAGGATTTCAAAGTCCTCTGGTTTCAGGTTGTTTTCTTCCTCGTCAGGGAGGGGTTGAGCCAATAATTTTTTCCAGCCAGTAATCCGGCTCTTGACAAGGAATCAGAAAAAAATTACAACAGTGGAAAAAGATATAGATTCAAGTTTTTTGCATTTAAAGTTGACAATGTAAGAAACTTGGAATTCAATTCACATTCACTCAAAAAACTGCACCGACTTAGTGTAGATATTTTTGACTGTAGGGCTGCATGGTATGATTTAAGCATCATTTTTGCGTATGTGTACAAGTGCTATGATAACATTACAGAATATATAATATCAATCATATGTCCTGAAATGTATCATTTCATGCCATTTTTTGTTGTTTCTGCTTTTGAAAAAACAAAAAGCCTTCAGTTTCTCTCTTTCCATGACTGATCTACAATATCAGTCTGTCTGATCCTCTTCCTGATCACAAAGAGAAGTGACTTCTGTGCAGGCAGAGTCTATGTGCACATAAGATGTAGAGTTGAAGGGATCACATGCAGTGTGTGACGATGAACTGTTCTTTACTGTCACAGGGCTCTTGATGCAAATTAAAAGTCACTTTGAACATATAAGGGGTTTTTATTTGAAAAAGAAAATAGAATTGAAGGCCCAAATGATAATACAAATTATAATTGTATGAACCTCAAAGGTTATTGCAGTTTCCCCAATATCATGCAGCATTAGTTGACAGAGGGATTTTGTATTGTAAGACATTTCAAGCTGCTATCCAATCACATTTTCAAAAAGAGAACTGTTCAATAGTTGTTGCTGTTCATGTTAAATGTAATAACAACACGGGCAAGATAAAATGCTGGAGACAGTAAATAATGTGATGTGTACTTATTCTATGAACTGAAAATGAGCACATTATCCAGCTTTGTGATAACAGTGCATTAGATCATGTGTTATAAATGTAATGAAACACAAGAACACAGACTTACTTTCCAATCCTCGATGGGGTCCTTTGGCTTTCTCTCATCAACAAACTTGTAGCTCTTTCGAGAGATGATGTTTTGCAGAATCTCTCTTGCCTTTTTTAGCTCTGAGCAGGAAGACTTCAGTATTTCCTCAAACACGTTGTCTAAAAGAGTAACAGAGTAACAAGCAAACAAATGATAATAACACACACAAAAATTAGTGAATTTAATTTAAACACACTCAATAAATTGTAAGACATGGCATGTTAATTTATAAGTCATCACAACTAAATTAACAGGATGTGGTTTATTTATCTTTAACAAATGCACGATAAAAAAAATGGATAAAGTAGCATAACTGTAAATGACCTAGCAACAGAGCCATGTCTTGATACTCCTGTAGTCTGAATTGGCTTCAATGTTGAACATGAGCTAACAGCACACATTTAAATCTACACACCTGTGAGCTTTGTGTAGGCCTCCATGTCCTCATTGGCTGTAGAGAGAGTGAACATCCTCCCTCCTGATCCTTCAATCTGAATGTGATCGTCTGCTTTCAAAAAAGCCTCTGCAATCCTGTATGTTCATATCAAATATATTATTACTGATGAGATAGTGAATCATGATGCAGATTGAATAATCGAAATCAGAAGGAGACCAATCTTATATTTGGAGTAATAACTTCTGAAGGTAGACACTTACATTTCTTGTATGATGTGGCTTACTCTATGCTGACAGGCTCTTTTGTGGAGATGGTGTCTTGTATAGAACAAGTCGTACATATGGTCTTCCTCCTGTTGAGGTTAGGACTGCAGTTTAGTCATAAATAACAACATTATCAGTTTGCTTTCAATTATCTGTTTACAAGCTCACGTGTGTCAGCACCTTGTCTCTGGTGCAGATAGTTTTCCTGCCATCAACCTCACACACTCTGGCAAACTGCAGGAAGCGACGAAAGTCAAAGTTGTTCTTGATCCCCAGGTAGGAAGAGTCCCTGAGTAGAGGCAGATTGAGCAAGGTGCTGAATTTACTGGAGAGTTTTGTAGCCTATAATTTAAAATAATCAGGAGAATAATGCATTGTTCAAAAAAAAAAAAGAAGTGCTGTAGTGGTCTTCATCACAAAATGAATTGCTCTACAGCACTTCATTAAAACCTGACCTGGCCAAGTAGTCAAACTTGTCCACATCAACGCCGTTTTTTTTGTTGGACACAATTTCATAGAGGAAGGATTTTCTTTTGGGCGCCCTTTGTACGGCCACTGCAGGGATGACGACACAAAGCGAATCAGGACCAGTTTTATTGACACGTATGTTGTTGTCAATGAATTTACACTGCATAGAAAAAATATGTAGGACCATTCCACAAAACAGAGATAAAGCTAAAATATGAACACAATAAACTGTGTACAAGCAAAAGCATGACAAAATAAACAGCAGGTTCAATTTCAAATGGAGTTCTAGGCAGATGAAAAACTTTTTTTAACGATTAAAAAAAAGGACTCTTCTTGTCCGCCTTTATACTGAGGAGATGTTACAAAATAGTGACATTAGTGACATTGCTGTTGAGGACACAGACCTATTTATGCACAGATGGTGTGAACTTGCCTTTTCTTTCTTTTTTTTAACTTTCTTTATTGCTTTACATATTAACAACATTTCCATTTAGTAATGTCCGTACAGAATGTGATTCTTTTTCCGAACTGCCTTTTCTACAGCAATCATCTCCTGAATGTTTTTCACATCTTCAGGGTTCAGTTTGTATTTCTTCTTCATCTCTTTTTCAAGCGTCCTCTGTTCCTGTAATATTTACAGTTAGGGATAGAGAGATTAATTGTGAAATCGTGATAAATTGATTCAAAGGTGTCAAGATTCACATCGGTACTCTGAAAAATGAATCGCAATAATATCGTGAGCGTCAGCAGCTGTAGAGCAAGATTTTCAAATTGAGGACGCACCACCTCTTTTAAATCAGAGGTGTGGAAGCATTTTAGCTTCCCCAAGACAGAAAATTAAAGATGTGAGAAGATAACAGACAGACAAAAACTGTGTGTAAATATTGCAAGAAGACAGGAACTACACAAATAGCACAACCAACATTTGCAGAGTAGATCTCAAACGTGTGTATGTAAGAAACACTTTAAAAGTCAGAGTTCCTAAAGTTCCTCAGAATTTGACGAGTGACTTAAAGTCAGCCAATTTTCTGTTGACATATACTGTATACAACATCCTAACAGGCTTTATCAGGGTTATTAAACTAGCTGAACTTAACCCAGATATAATACGAAGCACAAGAGTTTTTTGGAAGGTGATACTGCAACTCCGTTTTCTCACTAAGGGTTTTTTCACACCTGGGTAGTTTGGAAAAGTTGTTCTGAAACCATAGCCCGGTTTGTTCATACATATGTAAACACAGCAATCACACTCTTTTAGCTCAACTTTTTAAATCTATTTTGAATTTTTATTGAATTGTCCACTATGTGCTCTTTTTTGGCTATCCTTGCTCTTTGCTGCCTGTTGTGGATGAATAAAGTTTTATCTTCTTTTATCTTAAATTCATACAGTATCTTATCTGACTTATGAAAAACATAATGAGGTGAACTTGCCTCCTTGTCTCCAGCAATCATCTCCTGAATGATTTTCACATCTTCAGGGTTCATTTTGTTTTCTCCATCACTTGTTCAAGCTCACTCTGTTCCTGTAATATTTACAGTTAGGGATGTAAAGATTAATTGTGAAATCGTGATAAATTGATTCAAAGGTGTCAAGATTCACATCAGTACTCTGAAAAATGAATCGCAATAATATCGTGAGCGTCAGCAGCTGTAGAGCAAGATTTTCAAATTGAGGACGCCACCATCCTCTTTTAAATCAGAGTGTGGAAGCATTTTAGCTTCCCCAAGACAGAAATTAAAGATGTGAGAAGATAACAGACGAGACAAAAACTGTGTGTAAATATTGCAAGAAGACAGGGAACTACAAAATAGCACAACCAACATTTGCAGAGTAGATCTCAAAACGTGTGTATGTAAGAAACTTTAATGTCAGCGTTCCTAAAGTTCCTCAGAATTTGGCGAGTGACTTAATGTCAGCCAATTTTCTGTTGACATATACTGTATACAACATCCTAACAGGCTTTATCAGGATTATTAAACTAGCTGAACTTAACCAGATATAATACTAAGCATGAGATGCATTGTCTTCTCTTATTTTATATTCATACAGTATCTTATCCGACTTCTGGAAAAACATAATGAGGTGAACTTGCCCCTGCTCTTTAGATTCCTGTAGTCTTCTGTCTACTTCCATGTCTTCTTCAGGGATCGCTGGTTTAAGATACTTCTGTTTCAGCATGTGGTCTAGCATGTCACAAGAGCCCTTTTCATGCTGCAAGACACACAGACTCATAAATGTGTCAACACAAGATTTAAAACATAAATATAATAATCCCACATACTTTAATTTCCCCCACATTTGAAGAGTATATTTCAAAACTTGTGTATATTAAAAAAAAAGTTAAATGTCAGAGTTCCTAAAGTTCCTCAGAATTTGACGAGACTTAATGTCAGCCAATTTTCTGTGGACATATACTGTATACAACATCCTAACAGTCTTTATCTGGGTTATTTTGCTAGCTGAACCCAACCCAGAGTCAAACTGTTAAGCACAAAAGTTTTGCCTGAGAAGGTGATACTGCAGCTCAGTTTCTCTCTAATAGTAAGGGAATATTGCAAAAACATGGGAATAAATTCCCACCAAGAAATTTCTTCACAAGTTGTTCATAAAGGTGTCTTATAACATATCCTTGGTGGAAACATGGCCACACCCACTTTTATTGTACATTTAAAGTAGCTAAATATGTTGATCTCTACGGAAGAAGATTAGGGCCACTGAAAAAATAAAATTGGTTCTGATTTTTTTTTTTTTAATTCTGACTTTAAACTCAGAATTCTGAGAAAAAGGTCAGAATTCCCCCCAAAAAACAGAACCAACATTCTTTTTTTCAGTGGCCCTAATCCTCTTCCGTAGATTTCAATATCTCGAATACTAGTTT